AAATTATGTCAAAGTGACATTACAAGACAAAAATGTCATCTTGACCAAAAAATAAATTATACTCCGTATTATGAATGGCAAATTGTATGCACATTTACTCGCCTGGAAATAGGAGTAAAGAATACTAGCGTATAAAGTCCAGAGCAATGCCTCCGTAGTGTCACGGTAAATTATACCGTACAACCGGCTGTACAGTGCGCTCACCGTATAACTGGGTATCTTTGAAATTAAATACAACTTCGGGCTTAATCTTACCAGTTGCTCCCTGCTTTCCTTCTGTTTCCCGTCGTTTCCGTCCGTCTCTTTCTTTCTGTTTTCTTTTTGCCTCTGTTTGGCCGTTCCTGATTTTGTTTTGTTTCTATTTTTTGTTTTGTTTCTCCGTACGTTGCTCTGACTTGTTACTCCCTCTCGTTTCTTTTTTCTTTTTAGTTTAACGATGAGTTTAATGCACTAAACCCCCTCGTGATACATAATTTCGACGCATTAGCCCCATGTGATTTAAAAAATGTGTCAAACCCCCCTGTGTTATAATTAATCATGCGCCAAACCCCCTCCAAGAACAAATTTAATTTCCAAAAAAAGAAAATTGATTAGTTTTTTGTAGAATTTAGAAATTTTGAAAAAGTTACTTGCATATTCAACCATATTATTAAAAAAAACTAATTTCAAAATTGTAAAATTTGTTCTTGGAGGGAGTTTGGCGCATGATTAATTATAACACAAGGGAGTTTGACGCATTTTTTAAATCACCGGGGGCTAATGCGCCGAATTTATATTTCACGAGAGGGTTTGGCGCATTAAACCCGTTTAACAATATTTGATTGCTTTTATTTTTTATTCAATTAAAATGAAAATGCAAAATATAAAATATTATTTAATGTTATTTTCAAAAAAAAATCAATGTTGGATTTTTATTTCAATTAACCTTCTGACTTATTTTTTAATTTATGTATTATAAAATATTTTAGATATTAATACATTTATGGGTCTGCAGAGTAAGTGTGATCACGTCAGCTTAAGTGGCTCTCGCAGCCACTTCATCACAATGAGTTTTATGTTAAATTCAACAGTGTATAACTCTTAAAATGAATGTGCAGACACAAATGAGCTTTTGATATTGCGATACTCATTTTGTAAGTTGTGTATGCTCATTTGGTACCGGTCTTCTGCTCATTATATTTTTACATAATATTTGATTATAGACATGAGAGCATAGATCATGATGCTCAACCGCATAATTCTAATACTCAATAGAGGATGTTTGATGCTCAATAAAATATCTTAATGCTCAACTAAAAAACTTATGACTTTCATATTAATGCTCATTTTGTAAGTTACGTGTGCTCAATTGGTACTTCTATTATGCCCATTTCTAAAATGTCATAACAACGCATATCCCAAAAATACCATATTACATTAGATTCACATATTGAAATTGATAGACATTGGTTATAGATATAATTTAATGAGTATTTATAAATGAAAAAACAAGATAAAGAAAGTGAATTACAATATATGAAGTTGATATCACAATACTCATTATTCGACTTTTAATGTTCAGTAGAATACGTCTGATGCTCAGTAAAAGTGTGTTAATGCTCATCTTACGAAAACCAAGATTTTTACTGAAATTACGAAAAATGCCACCGTTTTTTAGTTGTGATATCAACTTTCTTGTAATAACGCGGTGCTCATTATTAGACGCTTAATTACTCATTAGAGTGGAACTATTGCTCATTAACAGTACACTAATGTTCATTTAGCAGAAACTACGATTTTCACATTAATTACAAAATTGCCACCGAATTATTTTGTTATTTTTCCCTTGGGTCTGTTACTGGGCCGATTGTACGGTGCTCATCGTACAGCCGGCTGTACCATATACATACTTGTAGTGTCACCGATATAAAATTGGTTTTGAAACTCTTTGTTAGCTTTTATGGCAGTCATTCGTCCTCATCTAGACCTGTCCGGAAGAATTTTATGGAAAAGACTTTATCCCACTAATATTTTTATTTAGTAGTACTTGTTTTTATTTTAGTTCAAATATATTTGTTTTGGATATTTGGATTTTTTATGGAGTATTTTTTATAGACAATATTTCAATTTCGGTCATTTTAGGCTCAAAATAGTCCATTTCGTATCTAGAAGTCAGATTGCTTTGCATGAGGGGTTGTCTTTGTGTTTATTTCTACAGCTTACAATCAGGGACGGAACTATGTATAAGTCTAGGGGGGCCATTGCCCCTCCCAACATTTTTATTTTTTTAATTATTGGCTTGTAATTTATTTTTTTGCCCCCCCCCCCCCCCCCCCCAAAAAAAAAAAGAAAAATTGTATTTCCTCTAGTAGTGTAGTAGTTCAAAATATGTTTATAGTTATACTCCGTACTACATTTATAATTTTTCAATACTTCATTAAAATATCATATGTATAAAAACATTATATATTCTAGAAGTAGTCATTTTGGAAAATATTAATCTATAACACTATATTTTGAAGAAGTGATTATTACCCCATAAATAATACTTGGTACTCCATATGTAAAATTATATTATTAATAATATATTATGGAGTAGTATTGGAGATATTCATCTTAAAGTATCTAATATAAAAGAATTATAAGAAAAAATTGGGATACTAATTTAATAAACTTTAAGAGGAGTATATTATGTAATAGCATTTTGCCCCCCCTACCCTCACCTCCTGGCTCCGCCCCTGCTTACAATAGGTTGTCTTCAGGGTCAGTCCTGATATAGGGGCAGGATGGGCGGCTGCCCAGGGCCCACCAGGAAGAAGGGCCCATAAATTATTTAGGAGTAATATATATATTGAGTCTCGTTCACCTCGGGCCCACAAATATATTTGAGACGCTTTTGGATGAAATTGTTTGATGAAAGTTTGTGAGTATGTTTTTCATTAAGTGTAGATTAGGTCAAAAAAATGTCAACTCAAAATTCAATCGGAAAATCTGTTAAATAAATTATTGAAAAACAGTGTGCTTTATGTAGGGATGGCCTCGGGCCGGTTCGGGCCTAGGCCCGGCCGGGCCTCGGTTCAGAAAAATGAGTCCCGAGCCTGAACCGGTGGTGGGCGGTTCCGGGTCCGGGTCCGGGCCGGGCCGGGCCACCCGGATTTTTATTTTTTTTTCTTCTCTTATTTAACCCCCTACCCCTCCCCCTCCACCCCAAACCACCCCAAACCACCTCAAATGGCCCAAAATACCTAATCCAACCCAAAACTTTAAAGAATTTAAAAAAAAAAAAAAAAAAATCCGGCCCGAACCGGCCGGGCCGGTTCACCAAAACATAGGCCCGAGCCCGAACCGCCCAAAGGACGGGCCGGTTCGACCCGAGCCGCTGGGCCCACCGGTTCCCAGGCCAGGCCGGGCTCAACAGTAACCGGGCCGGGCCGGTTCCGGGTCGGGCCGCCCGGCCCGAGTCCATCCCTAGCTTTATGTATGTTTAAATATCGCAATGTTTTTTAATAATTTATTTAACTAACTTCTTAATTGAATTAGAAATTGAAATTTTGTGTAAATAATCTAATCTTTATGAAGAACATGCCCACAAAATTTTATTAAAAAAAATTGACCAGATCATTTTGTCAAGTGCGCCTCACCAAATCATTTCCTTATACTCTAAATCTCTAATACTCCGTAAAAGATACCCCTCAATCCTCATATCCGTAGACTGAGCCACAACGACAGAGCTACACACGAAACACAACTAGATGACTTTCTACCTTCCTCACAAAAGCCGAGAATTTAAAATTAAAATTTTCTTTTAACAATGCCTAAAGAATTGTTTTGTATGGCTTATGATACCAAGTATTTTTAGGAACAAAAACATTTACTTGTGTAATGAATTTTATTTTTGACTTGAAGCTTTTGTAATACATTTCTATAATATACGGAATATATAATTAGGGGCCTATTTTTTGTCTTTTGTCCAGGACCTATAAATTGTCAGGACCGGCCCTGGTTGTCTTTATTCTTATAGGTTGTCTTTATTCTTATCGATGTTAATATAAAAACCGCTATTTTATATTTAAAAAAAACTCCTTTTAGCCCGATTTGCTCTTCAGCAACGTAACATAAATTAAGTTCGATTTCCAGACATATGTAACTCTCTGTTTGGGGTTGTTTGACGATGTGAAAACAAATTCCCAGTCGAATTAAGGCAAGTTTTGAAGTGGAATAATGTAATGTAATGTTTTTAGTGTTCGAGTAAAAATGATGGGATATGACTTATGTCGGACCTCCTCCAATTATCCAAATGAATGAACGATATAGATATATGATTAAATAAAATGTTGTAACAAAAAATAAATCTCAAATATATAATATTTTTCCTAGTTAATATCTAATTAAATTGTGTTTAGTATTGCACGTGCAGAAAACAAAGGAAGAAACTAAATGAATATTGACTTTCATATGAACTTTTTAATACATTATTAACTTATATGTTAATTTGAATATATATTATTAAATTCTAAACTGTTTTTTGAACATTGGGTTTCCTAGTTCCTTAGTGGATTATTTTACGAATTTCATTTTTCCTTAAATTAGGCTAACCGCAACCCGCAGCCGTCAATAAATCAAATTTCCCACTACTTTATACGTATTCACACTGTCAATTCAATTTTTGCTGCAATCCAACCACCGTCAATATATTATATTGCAAATTTTTTTTAACTTTATACATATGATATTGATATCATATGAAATATGATATTGATATCATATGAAAGATATAAAAAAATTAAGAATTTGAATATAATTTTTGAAAAAAATTAGGTTCAAATAAAAAAGTTGTAACACTTTTTAATAAAAATAGATTTTTTTGTTGTTGGGGTCCACACTATATGTCTCCATCAGAGCAACTTCCCCATTTTTTCTTCTACAAAGGCCGTGAATATGGGGTGCCATATTCTCCCTCCCTTGGGTGCCATTCTACCAATTTGAGACCACCAAATACATGGATTGGAGGAGTTTTAAGAGTGAATATGCTAAATTTAGTTTTTCACTTCGAGGGATGCGGACAGCCTTATAACTTCTGAATGCTTTCTTCAAAAAAACTTCTGAATGCTTATGTTTGTATGGTTTGGGATGTTTTCTTTTGGACTGAAATTTGCTGGTCTGGTCTGGTCTGATCTGATCTAGTCTGGTATGATAAACGTCTAGTCTCTGTGTATTTTATAACTACGGAAGTCTGGTATGGTCTGGTCTGATCTGGTCTGGTTTGAGACTGAAAACAGTCCAAAAGAAAACATCCTTACGCCGTATGGTCCATGGAGTATGTTGGGCCACGAAAAACTTATTAAATAAAGGTGTGGCCCATGAATAGAGATAGAAGCTTAAGAAATGCAAATTCAAGGAACAGATAACAATAAGAAGCTTGGAGCTAAAGAAGTGGAGCAAAGTGATATAGTCAAAGAGCTAACTCCCTATTCCTACAAAATAGGAGTCGAACATGCCGGGCAGTTAGATGATGGATTAGAATGAGATGAATTTACTTGTATAAATAGAATAAAAGGTCGAACATAAGGGGACTACGGGTAATTCCACTTCCATAGCTGTGATATTTGATATTGATCTAGATTTTGTTTTAATTGTTGTGCTTTACATGTAAAGTGTTGGCACTTCCCACTTCAATGATTATTAATAGATTGATCCCCGATTATCAATAGAGATATTTAGGAACAAAGCTCTCAAGTTCACATTCAATTGCTATCGATATATCTATACTATTTTATTTCTTGTACGTAGCCCAACACATCCTTTTCATTTATTTGCTTTTTTAGAAATTAGCGCAAAAATTGCTAAAACAATTTGGCGCCGTCTGTGGGAAATCGTGCAAGAAAAAGATCACATATGGAAGGAGCAAATCAATTGTTGATTGAATTCCATGAGCAATTAGAGATGGTCCGAGATGAAATCCGGCGCGAGATGGCGGAGAAGATGGCTCATCTCCAACGGGAAAACGATATGCTTCGATCTCAGGTGCAATTGGCGGTATCAATAGCCTCAAAGTCAAGACTCAACCGGAGGAGTGACACAATGACTGCCGCAACACGGCTGGATATTTGTTTCTCCCCAGCTGCGACGGATCCACCTGCAACAGTGACGGATCCTGTCTCCCTCACGCTAGAGCCGTCAATTCCTCATTACAGGAGCAGAACTTATGGGGAGCCTGGTCCATCAAGTTTCATGCAGTACGCCAGACGGAATGAGCCTAGTGTATCATTTCTAGAGCCTCTGACGGAACGCTTTGGCAGACCTGTCACGACATCAGCGTCGACGCTTCCAGAGCGACGCCCCGAAGTGAATTTCATCCCATCACCAACCCGTCCTGAAGTCATCCATATGGTAGGACCAACGTCTTCTATCCCAATACCAATCCACCCAGCCGTAGCAGATCAGATGTCCATGTTAATGGAGCAAGTGCGTCATATGCAGGACAAGATCAACGGATTGCTAGGGGTACCCCCGCCCTTGGAAAGAGCGTCACGAACGTGTTATGAAGATTCACCTTTTGACGCTTCGATCATTCGTGTCCAACTGCCGAATAAATTTGACGTACCAATCATGGAGCCATTTGACGGAACCACGGATCCTGGAGAACATGTCGCGCGATATAAGCAAGTGATGTCGACCGTCTCCGTTAGACCGGGACAAAGAGAGGCATGTATGTGTCGAGGATTCGGCATAACATTGATCGGTCCCGATTTGACATGGTTTGTCAATCTTCTGAATGGAAGCGTCGGTTCATTTGCCGAACTCGTCAATCTTTTCAATCGACAGTTCGCGAGTAGTAAGGTATTGGAAAGACGGACCAGTGACTTGTATCAAGTCACACAGAGGCATGGTGAATCACTTAGAGATTATTTGCACAGATTCAACGTAAGGAAGGTGTTGATCCCAAAATGTGACGTCTCTACCGTCATTGAAGCATTCCGAAAAGGTTTATATGAAGATTCAGAGCTATACCGAGAGCTGACGAAATACCCTTGTCGATCCTTCGAAGATGTCCAAACAAAGGCGTTGGCTTTCATCCGTCTAGAAGAAGACTTACGATCCCGTCTTGGACATGTTGAGCATGAATGGGGGCACATCATCCGATGATAGACAGATTCTAAAGAGCTGCAATACGGTAACCCTTAAAAGTTGTTTCATTTTTAGTTTGTTACTTTCTTTCGCATATTGTCATCAATTCCATGACGAGTCACTTCTGTGACGGATCGCTTTCGTGACGAATCACTTTGATGACGAATCACTTTGATGATGCATCACTTTCTTGACGAGTCACTTCCGTGACAAGTCACTTCTGTGACGAATCACTTTCGTGACGAGTCGCTTCCGTGACGAATCACCTTCATGACGAGTCATTTCCGCGACGAGTCACTTTCGTGATAAGTCACTTCGGTGATGAAACAATTGAAATCGTCAGACGGGGGGCATATCGTCCTACGGTAGACATGTTATGGCGATAACTTATCTAGATTGGTATACATATTCTTAATATCTATTTTTCATTTATCTATAAATGAGGTCACTAACTTAATCGTCGGAGGGCCGTTGGCTTAAGGCAAACGACCGAACCTAATGACGTTTTGAATTCAGAAGACTAAACAACGCGTCAGGTAAAGCGGAGCACCACCAGTAAGTTACTTTGATACTTCACATTTCTTTGTAAGTTTAGAAACCAACGACGTAGCAAGTGCAACGAATCTGTCAAGGCGTCATAATGAAAGTTGACAATGTCAACCTATATGTCTGTTTGAAGCTTTGTCTCATTTACTGACTTGATCCTGGGCAGAACATTGACTTTAATCTCAAACAACTTGTCTGATTATTTAAATTGAATTTAATAAGCTCTTGATTCGTTTAAAAAGTGTTCTATAGCTATCTTGTTTAAGGAAGTTGTGACGTACTGAGTGTAAGGTTTATATCCCTTCCTAAAGATTGGTTTATCACTTTACTGACTTAACCATTGGAGGGCCGTTGGCCCAAAGCCAACGGCCAGCTTTGACGGTTTGTAATGAGTGCAGGACTATCTTAAGACAAGCAATTGTGGGGCAATTCGCGAAGGCAAGAAAGCGTCAATCACGCTTTTACCAACTGGGCACTATACATAGACATCAAAATGGGAAAGGGCTGGGCTGCCCATGAGAATATCTCATGGATCACAGTCCCAGCTGGCCCTTGCGACATATATACTTTGGCCAAAACCTACACACGTATATGACGACGCACGTACAACCAAAACATATATGACAACACACGTGCAACCAAAACATATATGACAACATGCGTACAACAAAAAAATACAGAACTACACAACAGAAACACATGCTCCAACATAAGGAGATAGTGCAAACGACAAACGTAACGCTATTTAAAGTTTTTGCAGGATATGAGTCAAGTTCACACAATCCAACTCGTCATCTGGACGAAGTTTCAACTCGTCAGCACTACCTAAATTTGGAGGAAGAGCATAGGAGATCAACCTTCGTTCTTCGTTGCTTCAGTCAACGAGACGGATTCAATCAAAAACTACTTGCAAAGAAGGTGACAAGTTGACGGAAGCGTCTTATCTGAGGATTGACGGGTTGAAGAAAGCGTTTCGTCAAATGAGTGACAAGTTGATAGAAGCGTCTTGACGAGTTGACGAAAGCGTCCAGACGGGTGACAGATTGACGACATGTCTTGTCAAAATGATGACGAGCTGATATGTGCAATAATAAGGATGACAGGAGACCAACCTTCGTTCTGCATCACCCCACTCAAGGAGACAAATTCGATCTAAAAACTACTTGCAAGGAAAGTGACATGTTGATAGAAGCGTCCAGACAGGCAAGTGACGAGATGAAGGAAACATGTCATCAGAAAAATGATGAGTTGACAAGTGTCTTGTTTTCAAGGATGACGTCTCATCAGACAAATGACGAGTTTATAAGAGCAGTATTCAAGGATGACGTGTGTAGATGTTTTCAAGATTTCGACAAGTTGACGCTTAACGGTTTGACATGTGCGTCCATACGCCTCAACTTCTCGAAAGGGGGCAATTGTTGGGCCACGAAAAACTTATTAAATAAAGGTGTGGCCCATGAATAGAGATAGAAGCTTAAGAAATGCAAATTCAAGGAACGGATAACAATAAGAAGCTTGGAGCTAACGAAGTGGAGCAAAGTGATATAGTCAAAGAGCTAACTCCCTATTCCTACAAAATAGGAGTCGAACATGCCGGGCAGTTAGATGATGGATTAGAATGAGATGAATTTACTTGTATAAATAGAATAAAAGGTCGAACATAAGGGGACTACGGGTAATTCCATTTCCATAGCTGTGATATTTGATATTGATCTAGATTTTGTTTTAATTGTTGTGCTTTACATGTAAAGTGTTGGCACTTCCCACTTCAATGATTATTAATAGATTGATCCCCGATTATCAATAGAGATATTTAGGAACAAAGCTCTCAAGTTCACATTCAATTGCTATCGATATATCTATACTATTTTATTTCTTGTACGTAGCCCAACACATCCTTTTCATTTATTTGCTTTTTTAGAAATTAGCACAAAAATTGCTAAAACAGAGTATAATTACGTTTTTTCTCAAACTTTTCCTCCTGTTATTTAATGTTTTCCTCCCGTTTTTCAACTAATCTATTGTTCTAATTAAATATTTTAATTAAATTTTGTTAACCAGGCCAATAAGAGAAACACATGTTACTCTATTTTATAACTACTTTATTATATAAAACAATACACCTTCTTGATCAGAATATCAGCACTAAAAAATGTTACTCCAATACTGCGCAAATCAATTACCAAAAGAAACCAATGCTCCTTGAGCATCACTTCTAAGGGACATTAAGGAGTTATTGTGTTTGACTTAATTTTATTATTTATATTTTTTATTGTTATTTTATTCACATCAGATTAGATAGAAACATTTAAATTAAATAAAAAAGGTTTAGACTAGAGTCGAAACATTTAAATTAGATTAGAAGCATTCAGATCACATTAGAAAATGCAGACCTACATGATTTATATGCTCCACCTATATATAACACCTAATATGACACTTCTTGTTTTCATACAATTATTTTCCATTTTATATGGTACTCTCTTCGTCTCTTAAAATTTTGTCATTTTTGAATTTTTAGGTCAACCAAGTTCAATTTTGACCAATTATATACATTTGTATAGGAAGTTATTTATAATATAATAATGATATGAAAATATTCTTTGTTAAAAGTACTTTCATAAAAATATAAATTTTATTATCTTCCAAATATTATATTAATCAAAATCATGATTTAAACTATACCACTATTGACTTGAAAAATCAAACATGGCAAAGTTTTAAGGTGCCGATGTAGTAGTATAAATAGGTGGAGTATAAATTTTAATGTTATGCTACATGTATAACGGTGAAGTAGCTTAGCTGTGTTTAGAGTGCGAAAACGAAATTAAATAACGGAGTGAAAGTATAGTAGTGTACGTAATATATGCTAAGACACATGATTCCATCCTAAAATATCAACCTGATAGGAAGAGTAACCCAAAACATTATATAGTGTTTAATTGTTTTATAGTTTTTCAGTGTGAGATATAGTACCGTTGTTCAGCTAAAATGTGATAGAAATTATAATGAATTTGACCAATATAGAAATTACTGGTCAAATGTGATAGAAATTACAATGATAGAAATTATTTATAGGGCTCACAAAAGATAGAAGGCATAAATTCTTCGTCCTACTCGAACAAGCTACATACTCGTACAAGAATACAAACAATGCATTGTTTTATCAATTAAAAAAAATGGAAGTGTGTCTTGAATTCCGACACGTACTGCTAGTCTGCTATGCTATGTAGCACGGAAACTCTCGGAAAAGAGTACGTTTCCCGTTTCGGAAACTCTCGGAAACTCTTTGGAAACTCTCCAAATAAGTCTTTTTTGAGCAAAAGTTGACGTTTCTCGTTTCCCGTTTCCTCATGATTTTTGCGTTTCCGTGCAACATAGCAGTGCTATGTTTGGAAGTCAATTTATTGGAAATTAGTTTGTATTCTAATAGATGCATTGCTCGAAGAAGCAAAAGGAGCATGTGAAATTAGTTGTGTCAGTTGGCCATGTTCACGATTCCTAGCTACAATAATTAGGGGTGGACATAAAAAACCGTAACCGTATAACCGCGCCTAAAAACCGAAAAACCGTTGTTTTTTCCGGTTAACCGTACCGCAATTTTTTAAATCCATGGTACGGTTAACAGTGGCGGAGCCAGAAGTCTATAGTTAAAGGGGCCGGTTCTTGAAAATTTTACTTTGCAGGGGCCAAAGTTTAAAATATCAACATATTTTCTATAGATTAAACGTATTTATACATAATATATACTTAAGAATTTGTTTCCTTGCAGGGGCCAAGGCCCCTTCCAGCCCCTCCCTGTCTCCACACCTGACGGTTAACCAACCGTGAGAAAAAACGGTTACGGTTAACCAGTAACCGGTATGTTCATGTCTGGTCTTGAACTTCACGCTCTCGAAAGATAAATATGTATCCAACACAGCTAGATACATCAATTCTAATAAACCTGTGAAGAAACCAAATTCTGTTTGTCACTAGAATTTTTAATTTCCCACTTCATGACATTGTTAATTAAATAAATAAATAAATAAATTTAATTATATTTATTTATCATTAGATTTGGTCTGGTCTGAATTGGTCTGATTTAGTTTGGTAAATGTCTGGTCTTTGTGTATTTTATTTTATAATTATCCAAGTCTGATATGGTCTAAACTGGTCCAATCTGATCTGATTTGGTCTGATCTGATATGGTCCGGAACTGAAAAACAGTCCAAGTAAGACCATCCTTTATATTCTAGGTAATGTAACCTGATCTGATCTCATATGCCACATTTCAAGGTAAATGCATAAATTGATTACACATGATAAATTATTATGAAGAGAAAATATTAATATAATCATTGAATTATTATATTAGGATTGTATTGGAGCTATTGATGGTACACACATTGTAATAACCGTAACTGAGGAAGATCAAATGTGCTATCGAGGAAGAAAGGGAATACCAACAACGAATGTTCTAGCAGTTTGTGACATTGATTTGCTATTCACATATGTTCTAACTGGATGGGAGGGATCAGCACATGATTCACACATTTTCCTAGACATAGTGAACAATCCAAGCATTGATTTTCCAAAGCCACCGATTGGTAGTTCACTAAAATTTATTTTTTCTTACATACCATATATCATTTAATTTACAATTTTAATTTTAGCTATACTTGTTGATTTTATTTTCTTTGTAAAAGTATTGCTTGGTTGACAAAGGTTATCCAGAAAGATATGGATAGCTGACTCCGTACCCTAAGACATGATATCATCAATCAGAGTTTCGTGGATCATGACCAAGAGGATCACAAGAAGTATTTAATCGAGCACATTCATCCTTAAGAAGTTGTATTGAGAGAGCGTTTGGTGTTCTTAAGGCTCGCTGGAAGATATTACAAAAAATGCAAAATTATTCATTGGTGGATCAAAACAGAATTATATGTTCATGTTTTGCATTACACAACTACATAAGAAAAAGCAAACTTGATCCGGCTTTTGATTTAATTGATGAAAATCCTGAATTTATACCCCCTGACGTTATTCCTGATGTTCGAGCTAGTACTACACAAGTTGATGATGGAATGAGAAATCATCAGATGACGATTATTTGTGATAGCTTTGCTTCTAGTTTGATGTCATATGGATTTTATTTTTAATATTACAAATATTGCAATTCACCATATTACTTTTTTAAGAATCGTATTACTTCTTAATATTGGTGTAGTTGATTGATGCATTTTATTGTCATACTTTTTGTCAACAATCCACCTTACAGTACGAATAGTCAACCGCAGTCCAACACATCCATACTATACAAGACGTCTGGAACATCGGACACACATAGTACATCCATAAACAAACATAATGTAAAATATTCATTCAAAACAGCGGAAACATTTGATACAAGTGTTCATGCCACACTTTGGCGAACATGGGCATACAAGCCCCAAATAAATATTTAAAAATAATATCCATGAGCATTAATTAAAATGTTTGTAAAATAGGAACGGAGGAAACACGAACCACGTCTCCTCTCCTTGGATCCTTTCGAAGCAACGGCGATGGTAGCAACCTTCAAGTTCTACCTGAAACTGTGAGGTGGCCTCCCCCGTGAAGGGGAGGTCAATACTTGGAAGCATTTGACAAGTACAATGACAACTATACTAAGTATAATTAAAGTTTCAATTTCCAAGACCCTCAATCTAGGATGTTATTATTTTATAGTTAACTCGTGTTCCTTCGTGCTAGAGCTCGGCTCATAGTCATACTAATTTGTGCTAGAGCTCGGCTCATAGTCACACTACATTTTGCTAGAGCTCGGCTCATAGTCGCGCTACATTTTGCTAGAGCTCGGCTCATAGTCATACTACATTTTGCTAGAGCTCGGCTCATAGTCATACTACATTTTTGCTAGAGCTCGGCTCATAGTCATACTATATTTTTGCTAGAGCTCGGCTCATAGTCATACTACCACGTGCTAGAGCTCGGCTCGTAGTCACGTCATCTAATCCCTAAACAACTTCTTAGTCTAGGCTCCATCCATTTTGAGTAACCCTTAAGGCCTACTCCTAATGTAACTTGAGTTCATAAAGTCCACCTTAAAATATCTTTTAAGGTTACTTAGGGCGTACCCACCACAATTCAATATCTTGGGATTAGCTCCAAAGAACCATTGAACTAACATTTCCGACTAGTATTTCTATACTAGTCATTTAATCTTAATACAACCAATGCTAATTCATAATAGTTCGTATATTTCAATTTAATTCTACATTCAAGTATAATTTGGCTCTAATATCAAAATATCACTTTTATCCTTCCATGACTTCTTTACATGAGGTAAAAGTATATTTATCACAATGAAATTCATGGTTAATACAACTATCATGCCATTGTATTCATAACACATAATCATACACAATTTATTCATAAATTTGTATATTATGCATTTTTACTTTTAAACAATAATAATTTCATTTAGGCATTTTTTAATCATTTATAAACCATGCCAAACACATTTAATTCATTTAGGTAATCTCATGAAATTAACCCAATAATTATAAGCAATATAGTCGGTCATCCTCACCTTAAGCGCGTTCTACGCTCCCCGATTGAACTTTGACTAATTCCGGCGAACTTTGACCAACTCCGGCGAACTTTGACCAACTCCGGCGAAA